ATTAGTAATCACACACTAACTAGTTTTAGAGACACCATGTCCTTTGTTCCAAGTTCCAACCAAACCAAACCACTTGGAAACCATTTCATGATGTGATTTAGCAGACTTCTGGATGTTTTCTTAATTATCCTTTTCTCAGTTCGACTATAATAACTCTAGATATTAGTGATAGAGGTGTCTAATTTGGTTTATTAATCGAGTTTTACTTTGTTACAAAAGAAATCAATTTATAATGAAAGGGTTTATTATCATTTATCAGCAACAGAAGCCACTTGGTTGCGTGGTCAGAATTTCGTGATTATAACTAAACTTCTTTTGAGCAGTATATTAGTTAAAAAGAAAATGTCAATTGTGGCAATTGCGTGATTAGTGGAATAATTCATACAAATGGGTTAAAAATGTAAAAACGGTATGAAATTGAGGGAGTACGCAAAGTTTGGCGTCTCTTAAGGAATTGGTCATTGCCTCACATGCGCATATGAAATCAACCGTCCTTGGACTACATTAACGTGCGCTTCATATAAAAGTAAACATAGATTCTTTTTTAGGTTAATTTGCTACATAATAAAAAAATAAATACTAATTAGGAAAATGACAAAAAAAAGAGGATTCCTTTGCAAAAAACACTATAGGGTTTTGTTAAGGTTTTTGTCATTTCCCAAATTAACCCTAATTTTTTTGCTATCAACCCTAATTTCCCTTCTTCTTTTTATATATACAAATTTATATAAGGAAATCAAATATTTTCTCTGGGTAAGTAATTCCAAGAAATAGAAACATTTAAAACTTTCTTTATATACCAAATTACAACATCATTTCCTTGGTTGAAGAGGATATATATATATAATAAATAATTCAACAGTTATGGTTTANTTCTTCTTTTGGATAATTGAGTTTCTTTAATCGTAGCTTCGAACAAATATCGGATTTGCAATGTAATTAAATGCTTCAGTCTTATTCTTTGACTAAATCGATAAAACCAATTAGACTACAATTTTGTTTTTTTTAATATATATTCGAAATAACTCGGTTATAATGACAAGAAATCAATTCTTTTTGGTTTTGGTGAACTAAGAAATCAAAATTCATTGTAGATGTTACACATTTTTCCGTGTACAAAAGCAACCAAGTCACCAAAGAAATAAGCAAGAGTTTCGTTTGTAATATTAAGTCAAACCCTTAAGTTATATTATAGTAATAATACATTATTATCAAACTCGTTACATGCAATATGCGTCTAAGATTCACATAGTTAACTCTCTAAGCATTAAGATCAATTTATATCCATTCTTACGCCCATTATCTCGGGCAAGAATCTCTCTCTTTCCTTATATATACACATATGTGCACTCTATATTATCTCCATAGATCTCACATACCTCCTCTCTCTCTCTACAAACGAAACATCATTATGAATCAAGAACACAATAACACAACTCCAACACCAAAAGCTACGTTATTGTTAATGGAAGATGATCTATGCAAGAGAGAATCATCAGCCTCAACAAACTCATCGTTAGGAGTTTCTTCTAGAATCTTTTATTACTATCATCATCGGAGTATTGACGAGGGAGTTCCTTTCAAGTGGGAGATGCAGCCGGGAATTCCGATCAATCCTCCGCCGGAAGAAATCGTTCCTCCGATTACTCCTCCTCCGGCGTTTCTTAGCGCTGGCCTCTCTAAACCCTCAATCTCCGTCGGCGGAGAATCTAATAAACGTTCTCTATTTCCGGCGAATCTCAAGTTATGGAGATGGAAGAATCTTCGTAAGAGATATTTCTCTAGAGGGTCAAGCCAAAGCATGCCTAGTAGAGGTAATTAAGCGTTACGTACGTTTCATTATAACAACTTTATATATTGCTTTGTATCTTTTGCTTCTTATTATTACATAGAGTCCATAAGATATCTAGAATATATATATTCGCATTTTTCGATCAAGTGCAACCCAAATTTATATATTATTTTTAATTTAGGTTTTCTTGATAGTGATACGAAATGAACGAATGTGAATAAAAAAAAATGCGGAATACAAAAGCGGAGTCATTACAAAAACAATATTAAGTTGCATACACTTTTTTCATTACTCTTGTTAATGTGCGGAATCACACATAGAAATTGTAGAATATTCTCTATATTTTCATCAATCGTGCATAATCAAGGAATAACACATTGTAAAACTGTAAAATAACTCAAACTCTAAGTGATCGTTTCGTAATACAAATCATAATCTAAGTAATTACTAGTATAAATAATCAAATATGATTCTTTAGTTCTTTAAAATTCTTTTCAAAACAAATGTTTAATTAAATATGTAAATTCTCTTATAACCATTTGCATGTATGATCCCATATATCAGATTATAACAATGCTCGTGATGGTGATTCAAATTCTTGTGGGGAATTGGGGAATTCTTGTGGTGAACTGGGGAGATATGAGGAGTCTGAAGATTACAGGTCNAG